GTACCAATCACAGATCGCTAATTGTCACAGTGAGAATGTGCCTTCTTAAAATCTGGCAGTTTACAAATAACAATGAATATAATAGGTGCGCAAAGTTGTTAGTGTTTGCAAGGGAATCTTAGTATGATTTGTATCGTTAAGCGCTATCACATTTAATGTTACACATTGGCACCCCTCCTTTTCAATAACGTCTGCATGCTAGTAAAAAATAACACCATTTATACTAATACATGCTTATTTCCCTTTAACCATATAAAAAAAACAAGAGTAATGGAATCATACTTACGCATATGTTAACGAATATATACACACGTCAACAGAAGGATCATTTAATCTTAATTTCCCCAAAGTAACAAGAACGCAAAAGAGTATGAGAATTTCCATGTGTTGTCATTGATTTCCCCATTTCTCTGATTCTTGGCATCATAGCAGTTAAACCGTTTTAAACGGTTTGGTATATATTTACAAGGGGTAAAAAATAGTGTCTTGTTATTTATATTTTACTAACCGCGAGACGGGATGGGACGAGACGATAAATCGTTTTATTTTTCTTTTAGCTCGAATTCTATAATAGTTTTGATTAAATTCGAAGCTCTCCGAAGATACTATTCTCATTTGTGATAAATGCGTGTCATATTACCGAAAAGAGTTGGGGTGGGGGTTGTTGGTTTGTCATGTCTATTGCGATTGTCACTCTAATCATCTCATCGCACCCCCAATCCAACACCCCCCGTCACCGACACCCCAACCCCTGAAATTGTAGGGCCTTTTTTTTTTTTTTTTAAAACACATACTAATACCGTTACACAGTAAAGCTCTGTTGTTACACTCATAGTATTAGATGCACGGTTAATGGAATTTTCTGAATTTGAAACTGGTTGAGAAATAAACTTTCATTTCCGTTGTCATCCCAAATAATTGATTGATCATCGTCAAAAATTCATAAAGTGAGCGTATTTAGTAAGACGCATTCTCATCGTATTCTTAGAATCGCTACAAGAATTCTGTATCACTGTCAAAAAAACCAAAAGCGGAAATCTTGTTATGATGAAACACCCACTCATAATGATAGGCATAAATCATAATAATGACCAAGCAAGTCATGATTTTTTGATAAGATCTTTTCAATCGCACTTTTGGTAATGTGAGTGTGATTGCATTTTTGTAAACCTGATCCATAACCTGCTGATGCCTACGAAAATCCTTTCCCTCCCCCCTCCTTCTCACCCACTCCCCTCTCTTGTCGAACATTACGCCAAATCAAACTTTATTGACGTATATTTACCTCATCACAAAAGTCATAAGACTACGCATCATTTTAGTTTGGAAGGAGGGGATCTCGGAATGAGGAATTCGAAACTTTTATTGGTAAAATTGACCGTAACTGCGGTCTCCAATGTCCATATACGGTTTAGATCTTGCGAATCGTCTCCGTGTTTCCCGCATAACAGTTTGCATCGTTTCTAACTAATAAAAGAACGCAAATGTTCTACAAAGTGTTTAGGCGACTTTTTTCTTTTAGTGTAAACATGTCACAATATTATTAAACAATCATTGGGCTGCTTACAGGTTATTGGAACGTGTATACAACTTGTTACTTTTAACAATGATATATCACCATTGACTTGGAAACACGAGTTGTGAGCCTGGTAATAAGTACTGTATGCCATGCATATATAATAGAACGCTAACTGCCCGCCTTAACAATTCAAATTCCTTGTCCGATTATTGTATTCGTATGTGTTAGATTGGCTGGTACGATAAAGAGAAAAGAATAATGGTAACTCTTTATTTGCGCTAATAAAGAATACGGCAGACAAATTAGGTTGGATTGTTACGTATACATCAGTTGAATTTTATATTCAATCTCTGGGACTAATCCCTAATTTCAACGAAACAATAAGTTTGGCTTTTGATACTTTCATGCGCTCGATTTTCCCTGCTAACTATAAATAATGATATGTACTTTATAACCAGTTCGGCAGTTTAATAGTAACTACTACTAATTAAAACCAATTGTCTTATATTTCGAATAGTCACATCTGTTGTTGATGGTATTCCGAAGATAAACGGAGTTACACAATTTTGAGTAAATAATAAAATTTAAAACAAGCAATAAAGGAAATAGTGTGATTCGGCATAGGATAAAGACACTTTAGAACAATCACTATATTATCTTTCGAGTTTTATCGTCTTTGTTTACTCTTTGTTTTCGCTGGATAAAACGTTGTAAGCCGCAACAGTGATTCGTAAATTTGAACCGGTCAGCCGTCAAAGACAATAATACCAAGATGAGGTTTTAATTATACTACGGACATTCAATATCATTGACACTGCCATTATTGGAATTCGACTATGGCTGAGCAAGAGTCAAGACAAATCTGTCACAAAGCGTCCTGCCGTGGATATTATGGACATGCAAACAGTCTTTTTCTAAATATAAGGAATATATGCAGGAGCTGATCACGATGTCTTAACATGTCTATTGTTATCCTTATCGTCCACCTCCATAAATAGTCAGACTCTTTAAAATATGCTCTTAGGTCATTGCAATAAAATAAGGGATAAGACAATCTGACACTCGAATCTCCTACCCTGAAACAGAATGCAATTATGATTAACGGTATTTTATATACGGGAAAATGCCGAAAGACAATGAAATATCGGTAAGTTAATTGCAGACTCTATGGGATTTTGATAGCGTAAGGCTTTATCTTATTAACAGGTGTTTCACTTCTGACAAATATTATCTTTATTCTGCTGGCGGGAGCGTAACAGCTTTTTTCTTATCGATCGAATTTTCTAGAAATAATCGGATGCATCTTTTTCAGTGAACGTTATGTCGTGTTCGTAGCGCAAATTCTGTACGTTGTATTGAGGAAGATTAATTAATTAACGGAGCAACTTGCTTGAAAGGCAGGTCCTTTGGAAAAAACCTTCTTGTTATTTAATCTGTGCCATAAGTTTATTAGTAATTGTGTGTGAGAGCCAAAACCAGTGCTATAGATGGTGTCGAGGAAAATATAATAAAACACACGGTTGTAAATGTTAGTTGCCCTCACAAATGTACGGTTTAAGCTTCTCTAACGCTAACTGCATTATCTATGCATAACGTCTTAAAATTTGTTTTAAAGTGAGTCTTTGTCAATCCTGTTTGCTGCACCATTTTTTCAATAAAACCGAACAACATTTAAGAATTAAACGTAAATTAGGATAATTATTGTTATTATGTGGATTTGACGCGCTGGAGTAGAGATTAACTTGTTTTTTTTTCTCAATCGCATTCTCCTAAGTGGCTATTGAGCAACGCAAATTTTTATTAATAAACCAATTTTCTTCGTTCTATACAATTTTGAAACCTCATCTATTGTGCTTTCAAGAAAAAAAATACCAATACATTTTATACATTTCTGTTGTATTGTGTGATGAGTGAATGCACTGTCCTAATAGTATTTTGAAATACAGGCTGACCGCTCGTCTATCGAGTCAGAAAACATGTAAAATGTCTGACGCAAAGCGTACTCAACAGCGGGAATATAAGCACTAATATTTCGTATGCGGAAACGTTTTAACTGAGTTAGTTTATAGATCGAATTATTCTGTAAAAAATGCCTACACTGCTTTAAAGTACATTAATTGTACACCAGATAAAATTATCGCAAGCAACAAATTGATGTGTATAAGTTTGACACGACTCTTTTATGAAAATTACGAGAGAATCAACAATATAATTATTTAAGTAATATTATGGATAAAAATAGATAGAACGAACTGAAAGCTGCGTAATGTTTTTTAATATATGACAAATTTTATTAATTTGGATAAAATCGATAGCGACTATGTCGACAACCTGAGACACTTGTGTTTGTCATAAACAAACTTGTGCAAACCAAGCTGTCAAAATATCGGCAAACACTTATAACAAATTCTGCTTTCTTATTACAAAGCTGTCAGTTACAACCGTGCAAAAACCGATACATTGAAGCATAGAGAATTTTGACAAAAAAATACCAACTTTTCTCCCAAAGACTGTTTTAATAATAGTGAATTAGTCGCGACACCGTTTTGAAAATAACGGTGGCAATTAACAGTGCTTCACAGAGACAATGAATGGCCCATCCTATAAATGTTTTGCAGACCCAACTCTTATCTGTTACATTTTGTAGTGGTTTCTTTTCCGTAGTCTTTGTTTAAAGTACTTTTACCAAGTTAACAGTCCAGTATTCTTTGCCATATCTCTTATAGCATACAGCTTCAGCATGACAACAATAATAAAGTATCAGACTATAAAAGCACCTACCCTTTGCACTTGCCTTGAAATACCCGTAGTATGGAAATTTTTACAATAATATTAATGTCGCTTAATAACAATAAAATATCAATATACCCGATTATTGATATCAACAAGCTCTTTCGCGCGTTTGAGTATTCGTGGAAGACTTTTGGTCTTATAATTTAGTAATTACTTTATAAAGTCCTTCAAATTTACTGGCGGAATCTTATCCGTTTGATTCTCCAATAGCCGTACCATATAAACGTAGATTCTTCAAGCTACTCTCGCATAATAAACTAACGGCGCGTAATATTAGCGTTTCTTGATATACTCGGCATTTAATAAAAAGCATTCCAATACAATTGACTATGAATCATTCATTACATTTAATCATAAAATTGCTTCACGTGATTATACGACTGGTAAAATCACATGAGAAAACGAATCACCTGATTTCCGACATAAAAATTTTTGGCCATCATTATGTGAACTCTCTCTTCCCACAGTAGGGTCTTATTTGCCTCGAAAATTCTGCAGCATGGTATGGTTATTTTCCTTGCATGATCTCTACTTTTCAAAATACGTTAAACAGTGGCATAGTGGCGCTATTACGGGTTTTTGGTTGGCAATTTCATTACGGGCATATAATGGAAACAAGAGAGAATTCGACAATCGATCATGATACATCTATAGAATCGATAGACAAAACCTTAATCCATCCATTACAATGCGGTTATTGTGTTTAAGAGACGATCAAGTATTAAAGATATAGGGTAGAGTCGGGCATAGTGAACAAATGTAAAGAAGTTCGACTGCTGATATGAGCTTTCATTTATTACTCAACAGCCATTCGTGAAGCTGGTGAAGAATAAAGGTATGGGTCATACATCGAATGTCGTGTCTATGATAAAATGGTTTACTCATATTTGTCGTTGTAAATTTTCAGCTTATTTCAAGCGATATCAAGTCAAATACCGCAGAAGACGCGGTACGTTCTTAACTGCTTTTACTGATCTACGAGAAATAGTCAGAGTTCATCTTACTCCTGATATACGATTGTTATGACTACTCTTTGTGAGATACATGTACATATATGATGAGAGCATAGTTCATCTGAGATTTGAGAAACTCGAAAGAGTTCATTGAATGCGGATCAAAAAATTCTTTCGCTCCTATCTGAAAAAGAAAGCAACAAACGATCGTTGTACAATTTCGTGTTGTTAATCGTTTAACTTTGCTGACGTTTGGTGACTGTTTGACTATCGTTTATCGAAAACAGAGGGCAAGACCGATTTTTATGCAAGGAGAAAACTTGTTGTACAAGCCAAGAACAAATACAATGCACCAAAGTATCGCTTGGTCGTTCGCTTCACGAATTCGGATGTAATAGCTCAGGTTATATCCGCACGTATCAATGGTGACGTGGTCCTGACAGCGGCATATGCACATGAATTACCAAGATACAACATTAAAGGTGGTCTAACAAATTGGGCTGCTGGTGAGTTATTTATTACAAGAACGTACCATAATGTCTCAAGTATCCCATCGTCCCATGTCATTGTTTTACTTATCGACCCACGGGTTTTTGATGTTTAGCTTATTCAACTGGTCTTTTGATCGCTCGACGACTTTTGACTCAAGTTGGCTTGGCGGACAAGTACGAAGGTGTTCTCGAAGCTGACGGTTCAGTAAGCCAAGTCGAAGCCATTGAAGACGGGCCTCGCCCGTTCAAAGTATTCTTAGATGTGGGGCTGAAAAGAACAACTACAGGCTCCAAAGTCTTTGCGGTTATGAAGGGTGCCTCTGATGGTGGCTTATTCGTTCCTCATTCTGAGAATCGCTTGGCTGGCTATGATCCTGAATCGAAATCGCTAGATGCCGAGTTTCTTCGCAAATCTATTTATGGTGGTCGCGTAGCTGACTATATGCGTCATCTCCAAGAAGAGGATGACGATAAATACAAGCGTCAGTTTTCAAAATTCGTCGCGGCTGGTATTGGACCAGATGACTTGGAAGGCATGTACAAGAAAGCGCATGAAGCTATCCGTCGTGATCCTGTCATGAAAAAGACGACGAAGAAGGGAGACTACAAAGCTTTTAAGAAGGTGAGTAGAGTTGATTCGGTTGTAAATCTGTATTGGTTATGTATCTCATGCATTTCTTGCTTTCGTATTTAGTACAAGAAAACACGACTGAACCTTAAACAAAGGCGGGCAAAAGTTGGACAAAAGATCGCCTCATTTAAACGAACCCTTGCTAACGAAGAATAAAAATTCTGGAAGAACTTTACGCAACACTGTGTTAATGAAATGTTCGAAATTCGAAATTGCGGAGCGTCTGCGATACCTTTTTGGCCGTTTATGCGTAACAATCAATGGGAGACTAACATTATCTAAGGGTGTATTCACGATTAACAATTAAACACTATTCAAAAAGAGTCGTGTCCGACTTGTTAATACTAACATACGACAATTTAATCGTCGATCGATCATAATGTACGCCACAGTGATATGTAACACAGTCTTATATATGTGTAGAAACAAGAAATGAAATATGTCAGCGTGCTTGTTCAATGAACGCAACTCGACGATATGAATATCAAGACAGGATCCAAATCTGCATGTGCGATTAATAGTTGTTGTATTCCTGCCGTTGAAGGTGTGCCACCTAATTATTGCCGAGATATGTGCAATAATACATTCATATTATAGTATATTATAATCTGGAAACTGACGATCTATGCGCATCAGCATTCAGATTCATCATTCGAAGCACATTCTTCATTTTCTATAAACACGTTATACACATCGACTTGACGTTGTACATATACAAGCCGAACGTCTATTAACGTATGACATTCCATTGACTCTCCTAGGCTCCGTAATTTATTCAATCGTCCTTTAGTAGCCCTAACCTCGTCAAGTACGCTTCCCATCCAGCATCTCTATATCTCTTAGCCTCTTTAACAACATCTCTTCCATTGCCATATATCCCTCTTCCAACGATGATGATGTCGCTGCCGCTGCTGACAATAACGTCTTCCGGAGTACGATATCTCTGGCCCAATGCGTCTCCACTAACATCCAACCCAACTCCTGGACTCATGACTATGAAATCCTCGTCATCCCCCGTCAACTTTCTCCCCGCAATGAATCCAATGACGAAATCCTTATGTTTACGAGCCATTGCAACCGTAGCGTCTGTGTAAGAGCCGGTAGCAAGTGATCCAGCCGATGACATTTCAGCAAGCAGTAATAAACCTCGGCCCAGTGGCTTTCCAATCTGTGCGAGTCCTGTTATGATTCCTTCGCCTGGAATTGTGTGAGCGTTGGTAATATGTGCCCATGATGATATTTTGTAAATGCCTGACGAATACTGTAGAGCGACTGTGTTTCCTGTTTATCATTAATAAAGTGATTTGATTGTTAAGCAGAACACGGAACAGCGTCGAGTGAAGTTTAGCACTTGTGGAACCGCACCAATATCGGCAAACTTTCTGTCTTCAAAAATCATAAAATCATGACTTTCTGATAGTGCACGTAATTTTACTATTAAGTCTTCGTCAAAATCCTCAATAACATCTACGTGTGTCTAATTACAAAAGCAGTAAGTCAAACGTTGTCATAAATACACAAGCCTTTGGGTCTAAATACCTACTTTCAATAGACAAATGTATGGTCCTACTTTATCAACGATATCAAGTAACTCTGTTTTTCTTGTCACGTCAACAGCAACGCAGAGGTTGCTCTTCTTACGTTCAATACATTGGAAAAGTTTCCTTGCTGTTTCGTTTTGAAAAATTTCAGCACGTTCTGCATATGTCTTGACCATTGGTAAGAAAAAATCAGTTTAACAAACTATCTCGTCTCGCTGATCCGTATACATCTTATAAAGTGATGCACGATGTGTTGTGCAATTTACATACTGTCCACTTTATCGAACTGTAGCTATATTTATTCAATTGTTACCAATGCATGGTAAAATGTATTATAGACGTTATAGGGCTCTTTCGCCGGGATGCATTATTTTGACATAATAATGACAGCGAAACGTAATGTATTGGTTTTTGTTCATCCTTTTTTTTTTTGCTCCAGTTCCGTTGGCATAATAGATAGTAATAACACGCACCAAGATGATATCGAGCAGCGGCATATCCTTGTTCGACTGCTTTTCGTTCATCTCTTTCTACTCCAGTTCCATACAGCTAACGCACGACAAGATTATATTGAGTAATGGCATAACCTTGTTTAGCTGTCTTTATTCATCTTTTTCTACTCGAATTCCGTCAGCATAACAAACGCCAAGACTAGATTGAGCGTTGACAAGTCCTTGTTCAGCTGCTTTTTCATGTGCTTTTTGATATGCCTTATCTTTTCATTCTTGTATATCAATATTTGTAATCCAAAAGAGGGATTAGCACAAGGATTGGAAAAGGATTTAATTTCTTTGATAATTTAAATTTTTAAAGAACCCCCCAACACCGAATTAAGATCTAAATATTGAAAGCCTTTGCCGTTTTCATAACACAGAGCTTTATTCAATCCGGCTGTACTTGATTTTTTACGACCTTAACAATATGATCCACCCAATCTACTGTCGTTTTTCGGTATAATTTTTTAATTAAACCAAAACTACTATCACACTTGAATTTAGTATGTCCAGGTACCATGAAATTTTAATTCGATGCCATAATAATAACAGCAAATTACTAAATATACAGAGGGTTATCAAAAGTTCTTTTATGCAATATAAAACACTTAATTTTTAATACTCAACCAAAAAACTTTATTAAACCTTCATTTTAAGCTTATCAAAACCTACACATTGTATTATTAAACTAGTATCTAATTAGGCCACCTTCCGCCGCCCGAATTCGTGCTGGCATACTATCGACTAAATTTTCGATCAGAATTTGCTTTCCATGCACCCTTTCAAGTTCAGCAGGCTTAGAATCAATAGATCCAGTTTCGGCATGCCTTTTTAATGTATCATAAACTGTTGTTTTGCTCACATCCAACAGTTTCTGCAATCTGATTATACGAATTACCATTTTTACGAAGATAAAATATAGTACCTCGTTGTTCTGCGGTTAATTTCCCATTGTTGCAGTTGTAACCACAATTTGTAGGAAAGAAAAACAAACCATATTTGTATAATAAACATTACCTTTTTGTATAGCAACCGCGTTCCAAAAATCGCGTTCGGAAACTTTTGATAACCCTCTGTAGATAGAATCAAATGGTAGTATTATTTTTACCCGCGTTATCTTCAAATGTTCTTCGCCTTTATCTAATTTCTTAATTCCATAGAACACCATGCTTACTGTGGTATTGGGGCCTTTGCTGATAATTTTGTCTTCATAACAAACGTAATTAATTTTTTCGCACACTGCTTCATTTTGAATACCAAATAAATGCACTTTACATGAACCGAGCTAATAAATCGTAACTGTAATGAGGGGTATCGTCAACACTACAATGATCAACTTTACCTCTTGTTTCATCAACCGATTTCCTTTGCTGTTCTGCTAATTTCATATTTTTGTTGCAATAGTTTCTCTCTAATCTAAATGTTCTCTAGTAAGTCTCTCGTTTCTTCTTCCTTACGAGCATTATACTGTAAGCCGTTCCGAAAATGTTGGCACATGTCACATAAATCTGTTCTCGGACTCATAATTTGAATATACGGTGTTGATTGGTGCCATAACACAGAACGCATCATATTTTAACAATTTTAATGTGCTGTCGTTCTCTAGACCTGCAATAAAATCATGATAGACTGATTTGTAACTCGTTTCAGCTGGCGATAATGTAAGTGATTGAGTAATGCAATTGACATTTCTCCCAGGACTTGGTAGTCCATGAATTTCAGAAGAAAATTCTTCACGGAGGTAGCAACGTCTATCTTGATGGTCATTTTTGTTTCCATCGCGGTACTTTTATGAACACACAATATTATGCCATTTGCTGCTGGATAATTTCGAAACAAGTGCAACCAATCCTAAATATTGAAATATGTTTTTTTGGCAAAGAGGCGTATTGCAATCTCAATAATAATAATTCTTTATTAGTACGCGTTTTTCTGGTAGTTGTTCTGATCTAAGAAAGAGCTTGAATGCCTCACGTAATTTGGCAAACTTTTTCTTTGAACAACCGCAATTGCAGCCTATATTTAAGACGCATTACTTAGTTGAATTATTATAATTTTTCATATACAAATACATTTTATTACTTTAAACAAAGTGGAGTGGCTATAATATTTTGTTGATCAACGACGCACTTTTGAAAATGTAAACCGGTCTATAATTAGTTTCGATTCTTTAAAAAAAACTGATTGACAACAATAAATACAATGAAAGAGCAGCTTTGTTTATTTTTTTATTATTACTATACATGGTCACATACTAATAAATAAATTTAATATAATAAGTTAAAAATGTAAGTTATTAGCAACGTTAAACAAGAATAGTGACTCAAAATTTTTTTATGCTAATTCCTACTTATTATTAACCTCGAGATTTTAATTATTACTATCCACTATGTCTATTAGCAACATTAAACTAAAAGCCTAATTATTTTGTGTATAAAGCATTAAATAATACTTATATAAAATATGAATAAATATATAAGTATTAAAGAACGACTTACTATAAAGTTTTGTCGGAAGTAATTATTGATCAGAAGATAATGGTTTCTAGTAATTCTAGGTCATGAAAAAAAAACCGACTTCCAAAAATTAACCTTATTTTGTAAATAAACAAGGAAACGTGCTTTTGATTACAAAAGTCCAACCATAACTATTGGCTTAACGGCGTTCGATGCCCAAATTCATACGTCAATACTATATACTAAAATAGTATTTATAAAGCACAAGAAGGGTAACGGGCACCCTTATAAGGTTATACCAAGTGTCTCTCACGCGTTGATTTTATTTTGGTCCATAAATACCGAAGTATAACAGATAATCTTCTTATGTAAGTATGATGAACTGACGTCTACCAAAGACAATGATTACCTCACGTGTTGCTAAGAGCTTTGTTGTAGAAGCGAATTCGGAATACTTGGTCATCCAATAGTCGTCATCCAAACCAATGAAATTTCAGTTGAAAGAAATGACAGAAATGTTGTAGGTAAACATTATACTTAATGATTAGTATAACAAATAGAATGCATTCAATAATTTGCCGAGTTATGGTATTTCTACGCTTGCATCAATGATGGTGTGGCGCATAGATAACGGGCACACTGTTTAAATTATACGTTTTAATTTAATTTTAACATTGTAATTGTGAACCCCTGAAATTCGGCGTGGCACAATGCCCATTGCAATTTATTTATCTCATGACCCTTTCAATTCCACATAACACTAACAACCTTTACTTATATGTTATTTTCATGTGACGATAAGATTGATTCACACGTGAACAGTCAACTTCTAAAGCCATAATTAGTAAATATCACCAATTTACATCTTACGTTCGACGTCACTCAAATATGAATAAATAGTAGCGAGCAAGGACTATTGTTTTCAGACTCTGAAAAAAGGGGAGTTGACATTCCAATCCCCTTCCCCATCCGAGAGAGAGAGAATAAGAGAGAGAGAGACAACGGATAAATAGATTTTAACCGAAATAGATACTTATATCTAAAAAAACAGCACACATATTCTCCTATTATTATTAAGTTATACAAAATGTTCCACGCCATAATATTATTCTTCTATGGCATCATTCGAAAGGTGTTCCGCATATCGGTAGCATTCTATACAGCATTAAATAGATGGATGGCCTTCCTTGCGCAATTGACTATGATGTAAGTGACAAGTTTTATTTCATGCTATCTCCCTTGGCGTCGATGAAACAATACATGCACATACTCGCATGCGAGGTTTCTCGTGTTGTAAATATAATCGTTAGTGGCTTACTAACTCTGTTATTCATATCTTTTTTTTTTTTTACATATTTCGCACGAATCATTGTCCCCTCCCTCCTTTCCTTCTTACTTTCTCATTTACACACACCCCAAACACACGTGTACGTAAATATTTATACGCGCTAACTCATTTATAGGTTCTTCATATGGAACTCGTTACTACTCGTAATTGGACTTGTATCAACAGTTCAAATGATCATCGGATTCGGCTTTGAAGTGATTAGACTAACTTCACCAAAGTCCGTCAGTGCTATACCCTCCTCTCCCCAAGCCACTTCTACTGCGGCACCAAGTCCTAAGCCTCGAAGTGCTATCACCGAATACTGGCAATCACGCCGCAAAGCTTATCAAGAAATGGTGGATGGATTATATGTGAAATACATGAATAGATTGCTGGGTGTGCAACAGCAGCAGGCACTGTATTTCCAGAACCAGCAGTATTTCCAGAATCCTAATCCGTTTTATCCCTCAGGGGGATACTACGATGATAGATGGTACGGACAGGTGAATGTAGGGACACCTGAGGCGTTGATCGATGATGAACTAACCGTGCCGACGCAAGATGAATTGGAGGCTATGACTGGTACTAGTGGAACTAGCGGACCGTTGGCTATTGGCGGCGTAAGTGGGACGCAACTACCAGGAAGTGAGGAGATTATGGTTGGTGGAGAGTAAAGATGAGGGCCTTAAGGAGATATTGAGTTTGAATGAGGGCCTTCAAAGGAATATGTTGTTCGAGAGAATAACAGAGACTAGCTGTTGGAATGTTTGAGATAGGATTTTCGTGACATCATTGGGGAGTTTTGTACACATGCCAATCGATCGTTAGTTGATAGTCTCCCTACAGTCTACTTGAAATTTAGCATCTGTCGTTTACTGTGATGCTACTCTTTGTAAATTAATGTTGCGTTTCATGACTACTTTATCGTAAATTCAACTAGTGATGATCATGAATACGTGAGTGCAAATGATCGTATAAGTCTATTGGGATTCGTTCATTCCTTTGAAATTGAATTTACTTATTTCCTAAAGACTTTTATTATTTCTATTATTATATGACTAATTACTCTCTTCTCTTTATCCTAAGATGTTGGAAAATGTGCGTTCAGATGGGGAATAAAATTTTTACCAATTGAATGACGAACAGAGAGTTTCTACATGCCAATTGTTCAAATACTCAGCATATTAAATCTAGCGATTTTCTAAGTCTATATTATATCATACATATCTCTATTACTGATACTCCGTCACAAAGAACGTGGTATCTCTTTTGTAACGATACTCTGAATTAGATCACCTTCTTGAAACTCGAAATTATCGTCAAATCCCATCCCACATTCCATCCCCTTTTTAACTTCAGTCATATCCTTTTTCACTTGTTTCAGAGACTCTAGAGCACCTACATTGCAAAACAGAAACCATAATCAATCAGTAAACATAACAGCAATGGGCCATGTTAGCCAAGCTATATTGACAACGTATTTTTTTATTTATTACGTACCTTCCCAAATCATCCGACTTCCTCTCATAACACGCACTCTTTGATTTTTAAGTATAGTCCCATTGGTCACTCTACATCCAGCTATTGGTTTCTGTTGTTTACCTTTAACAGTAATCTGGAATATTTGTAGAATTGTTGCTTCACCCGTAACGTGTGTTTCAATAATGGGCGGAAGCAAACTGGTGAGGCGTGATTTCACCTCTTCAAGGAGTTTGTATATTATATTGAAAGTTAAGATATCGACCTTTAATCTACTGGCTTCTGATTGGACCTTCTTACCAGCCTTTACGTTAAACCCGATAATTATTCCTTAGGGTTAAGCAAATATCTGTGTTAATAACTATTGATCAAACTGAATTATAATTGTGTTCGTGATAACGCTGTTGCTCCCAGTTACTCACCACCCTCTGTTGCCGCTGCCATTTGTATATCTGACTCTGTGACATCTCCAACACCAAAGTCGATCACATCTACGCGTATTTCATTGTTTCCAACTTCATCCAATGCATTGACAACTGCCTCGACCGTACCACTCACATCGCCTATTACAATTACACTTGTGTAAATATCATATTCTTTCTTTGAAAGATAAATATTGAATAAGTTAACAGCTTTATATTCATATATGCATCACCTTTGACAACAACGCACAAGCGTTTTACTTGTTTTTCATCTTCATTAGTAGGCTTAACAACGGGCGGAGGCCTCGAAGGATATTCAGGTAAAAGCCCTTGATAATACATCCAAACTGCTCTCTTCATGTCTCTCATCTGGCTACGTTCTTCGTGTATCTCTTCTTTACGTTGTCTGCGTTTTTCATTAATTACTTCAAGATCTTTGACCTGTTGTTCTCGTATATGCTTTAATGTGCGGTTCTCAGTAACTTTTTTGGCGAGATCCTAACATAGGCAAGTAAAATATCAATCAGATCAAGACAATAAGGGTGATATAGACATTTAAACCTTCAGTTCAACTTAGTGTCCATCGAAATCTACCTCATTTTCGGCTTCTAAAACTTCATCTCCAGCATTAGGCAACTCCTTCCATCCGATAACCTTAACCGGAGTTCCGGGTAATACCTGTTTCATTGTCTTCCCGTTCTCATCAACCATATTTCTAACTTTACACCAACTTCTTCCGGCCACAATGATGCTTCCTACTTTTAAAGTTCCTCGTTTTACCAACACCGTTGCCACATTTCTATTCGATTTGTCCAATAGAAGCCCATCCAATGACATCTTTTAGTATGCAATTGTACAGTGTAAACCTTTTCAATACGTAACTATAAATACTCACAAAAAATCCTCACCCTCTGCCTTTTTCGACTTGTGATTCGATAACGTAACCTTCACAACCTATATCTACTTCTGCACGAATATCCAGCATTTCTGCGAGGGCTACTATAGCCTCCTCCAAATCATCTAGGCCTTTACCCTATCGATGAGAACAGTTTAGACAATCCCACTCGGCAAAATAAAAGACAAAACAGTTGATACAAAGCAATAGTGAGGGAGGTAACCATAATACTAAAAGTTGTAAATGAGATATTTTCAAGGGCCAAAGTATATATACAACAAATATGTGTGCATGTGTAATATATTGAGAAAGACAGTATTACTATGCGCTAGTTTACCTTTAAAGCCGAGACTTGAATTGACTGCGTCTCTCCGCCGTCTTCTTCGAGAAAGATCTCATGCTTTAACAAACCTTCCCGTACGATATCCTTCCGAAACATGAAATTAACAGCATTAGGGTAAAATATCAAGCGCTATAAGTTTACGCGTGTTCTTAAATACTCACCAAATTCGCGTCGTGCTTATCAATCTTGTTTATTGCCACGATAAGAGGTACTGTTAACCATACAAAGAAAACATCATTAAACTTGTACGTGTCAGTTAACCCTCCTCAAGCACGTATTTTTTACCATTCGCATCTTTAGCGTGTTGAATTGCCTCGATGGTCTGCGGCTTGACGCCATCATCAGCAGCGACAACTAAGACCACAATATCAGTCACATGGGCTCCTCGCGCCCGCATTGCTGTAAATGCAGCATGTCCCGGCGTATCAAGAAAAGTGATTGTTTTCTTTGATGGAAGGGTTACTGTCAAAGAACAAATGAACGGTAATATTAAGGATAAAGGTCTAGTTTACATATAACCAGCAAGTATAGATTCACATTGCTCACACGCTCACCGATACTAACCGCTAAACGCTCCAATGTGCTGTGTAATTCCTCCTGCTTCTCCGGCTGCAACTGAAGTCTTTCTCAATGAGTCGAGCAATGTTGTCTTCCCATGATCCACGTGTCCCATTATTGTAACTACTGGTGGACGCAATGGGTAAATGGACATGTCAGATGGTTTAGGTCTTAGTTTGTTCGTTTGTTTGTTTAGAGAAAACGATATTGAGAAGTTAGTTTATATAAGTCACTAATGCCAAGAGCTAAAAAAACAAATAGAATTTCATCGTCGATGGAAAAATTCTTAAAAGCTAGTAAATCTTGGAGGATAGACTACTTTGGAAACAGATCAATTGCCACATCCTGATTTATTACGGGATTTAAGTCGTACTCGAGAGCAATTAGGCTTGCTACCTCGGATGTAAGCACTAGAAAATAAGAGTAAAAAGTAAGTAACCAAAACTCATCAAAATCATAATATTATTCGTATAATATGAGCAACTTGCAATGATCATGCGTGGTATACTCGATTCCCAATTCTTGTAATTTTCTTTCAAATTTATCTGTACAAAGTAATAATTAGTTGTGTAATATCAGATTATAAGCTCTCATCACGAAAATTTGCTTCAGACTCTTACCCAATCGTAACCCAATCACCTTTGCAAGATTAGCCACGCTGATAGCTTCAGGCAGATAGACTTCTTTTTTAATCTTTTCCTCGACTTTGATAGTTTGTTTTTTCTCCTTTTTCCTTTCACTCAGTTCCAATTCATCATAAGTCAATCCATCATCTAATTCGTCCTCTTGTTTTTTCTTAAAGAATCGTTCTCGTTTGGAAAGCCCTTCTTTTGATCGCCCTTCGTCACGCCTGACAAGTTTGCTCTTTGGTCGAGATACATCCCCAATATCAGTCAGATCGTCTATTTCCTCCGCGGCAACCTCCGGCTCGATTATTTCGGCTGGTGCTTGCGGATCGACGACAGCCGGGGCTACGGAAGGTCTCGGTTGTTGTATTGGTGTAGGAGTCGTGACTGGAGCTGGAGCTGCGCGAAATGGTTGATCTGGAGCATCATGTCGAGGCCACGGCTGAGCAGGCTTTTCAACTGCTGGAAGACGTTTGGGCCAAGGAGGTGGTCTTGGAGATTTCCAATCTCGCTTTGGTGTAGGAACATCTGTCCTTGATGGAGATCGTGAAAAGGGCAATGGTTGAGAGGCCTTTGGATACCTGCGGTCTGTGGACCAATTGGAAGAGCCATCGGGAGAGCGGATATCTTTGGATGCAAATCGATCAGAGGGAAATCGTTTGAAAGGTTTGCCAGAGCGAGGATATGACGTATCAGAATTGATCGATTTTCGTATAGAGCCTATATCACGTGCGGTTGACTTGGAATTGTGTTGGTTAGGATGTAGAAAACCTTGCAGAACATCCGCCAGTTCCTCCTGCGTTCTTTGGGGTTTTCTTTGAGCTTCTATCGGATCGCGTATTGGCAGATCCAATCTATTCATGTCTCGGTCATGCGTCGCCGGTTTCTTCCATTGCGTATCTTTCAATCTGAACTTAGATGGATCAGATGAATCTCTTGTATAAAAGCGTCTGTCGGTGGGTGAAGGTTTAAAACAGAATGGCCTGGCGGTTTTGGTTAGCTTTGATTTCAAAGAACGCATTATTTGATTCAATTAATTAGTTAAACACAATAGACATGCCACATGTATGAAAAAATGTAGATCCTACTGAAAACGGGTGTTAAATGTATTTCCCTAATCGGACATACCAGTTGGAATTTCAAACAAGCAAAGTTCGCGCGGTTTGTAGAATACACTTTATATTAAGCAATAATGTATTTAAGTAGATTTCACACAAGAAAGTGCTGTGGTTGTGTTGATCTTAAGACAGGTGCGAAAACATGATGTTTAGAACATGATTTGCTCAAAGTATCCCGTTAACTAAACGAAGGCTGTTTTGCAACAGGAGTCATCCTCATAACAGTAATAGCTTTGGTTCGTTATTTTTGTAGCGCAACTGGTTGTGCATTCGTTTTTTACTGGCAACATTTTATAGTACACATGTTCATGCAACATAATCTTGATTTATTCGACAGTTGAACAAACTCTCGGGCTTTTTCGGCATACTTAATTTATTTTACGGTGGAGGAGTAATCTCCATCATATCTTACATATATTCCATAAGTGCCACCGTTTTAATAGGTTATTGTTTGCTATATGGTATCTTACAGGTATACTCACTTCTTAATTAATCAAGGCTCGTTTTTGCGTTTCTTTTCTCACACTAGTTCCTTACCCTTTGCCATAGGACAATCCAACAGTAATCCGCCTATATTCACAATTTTATTGGATAGATGTACTGGCAAGCACAGTTTTCACCATAACATTTGGTATATTATGGTACTTCGTGATAGATCATACTCCAGTGATTATAGAAGAATTTGCTCAGAGCGCAGCAAGTATAGCAGATTCTGACGATAAGACAAGCGGAGAGATAGATGGAGACGAAGGTGGAAATAACACACAGAGTTCGTCAGATGAATTGCCGGCATGGAAGGCGGAAGCAACTATTGCTATAGTTTGGCTGGTTGTGTTATGGCTTGTGCACGTGAGTGGACTTTTGCTCATCACAGACAGATGTCTTTAACTATATTTACACCACACGGGATTTTAACAATTTCATGCCCATTTACCGTGAATTAGATTTACTTTGCAGTAGTAGTTCAGTCATATGCTCTGTATAGCGGGAAGAAGTATGCGAATCTATCCTCATCTGATCTCAATAGCCCGCGTGATTCGATGTCTGGAGATGCTTTGCTAAAGAATCTGGGCCGGCGGGGAGCATCAAAACGTGCGGACGTAGGGGACGAAGAAATTGAACTTTAGAATTTTATGAGTAATCAGCTTTATTTGACCAATTAGTTTCATTATACCATTATAGAGTTTAATTAGAATTCATGTTAAATATTGACTTTGACACGAATACGATTTAATTATATATTTGTCTCATCTATGAGAAGATGACAAGGAATAAGAAAAAGTAGAACATGGAGAAAGCTTAGATATAAAACGAGAATTTAGGTTTTCAAACTCTATGTTCACGCAGTTAATTTATTTGGGTTCAAGTGACATACAAGTCTTCTACATTAAAGCAAAACGAAAACTATATTACAAATATAAAACGAGTAATATCCTGTCAATAGTTCTCATTTTTCATTTTCGTATCTTTCGACCCTCTTTTTCCAATCTTGCTTTCTGCTCTGCAGCTTTAGCTATCAGGATAATAACAATGTCCAGAAGAAAGACGAGATCAGATGACGGAAGTGCACAATTTAGCTTTTAGGAAAGAGCTTTACTGACCTTCTGCTTTCGCCTTTCTCGCATTTGCAGCTTCTTCTCGCTGTTTTCTTATAAGAGCTAGGCGTGCTAAATCGGCCTTGGCTTGTTCAGTTTTACCTTCCAAATGAAGTTTCCAATACTGCTCCCTAGCTGCTTCTTTTTCGGCTGCTTCTCTGAATGATAGTTTCAAGAGTGAGTCGATCACAACAACTTTATGTAGCAATACGCTGTCTCATGCTTACCTCTCTCGCCGAGACATTTGCCGAGGTTCTGAAGCATTAGCGTTCTTTATATTATCTTCCTTTCTTATATGATTAGGATTGCTTGGTGGCTTAACAAGCGAGTAAGATGAGAATAATATTCGAGTACGTGAATCGATATGATAGTAAGTACCTCGTCCTGTCCCTCGTCTTCGCTCTCAGAGTCATTTTGCAACTCTTCAGTCGCGGATCCTTTACTTTGTTCTTCTTGGCTTTCAGCTTCTCCAGAGCTTTCCTCTTCTTCTTTATTATCCTGAATAGGTTGATCACAGAACATTTCAGCATTAGAATCTTAATGGGCCATGCGCTTAAACTGTGCGTGAAAAAAATCCCCAACCAAACTTACACCCCACATTTCTTCATCCTCGCCACGTTTTGCGGTCGAACGACGGAGTGCGGGAGTGAAACGATGACCTCCACCACGCACTGGTTTTCTTTTATTTCTGTAATTTCGCCTGCCCGACATTATTTAAAGTCAACTCTCAGTTTGACCCAATTTATGTGCCAAATAAGTGCACGTGACGTAGAAGAATAGTTATGACGCGTTGGGTGAAAATTTCGAAGATTATTATCGACATGTCGCTACATTCCCGTGCAAAACGGAGCAATTCTCAACTCGCTCTTAAAGCAACTTCAGTAGATACGTTAGATGATGTTTTGGTGTTGATAAAAAACGCTGGATATGCTGTTGATGACGTGAGTAACATTAGACACACGATTGATAGTTTATTTATCATTATTAAACTATCCAGATTTCGTTATATAGAATGCGATGACAGCAGAGCAATCGAAAAAGTCAGTTGAGTCGATGGATCTTCTTGCTGAAATATTGACCGTTCAGGATAAAGTTGAGAGTGTAAGTAGGGAGAAATGAATGTGTGATCTAATGATTAGAAGCATTAATTTTTGCTGTACTTTAGTTAAACAAGGACATAAACAAGTTCAAGGACGTGATTGAAAGTTATGATATTGTCAGGTCTTCCGAGATTGGTAAGTCCCACGGCTAGGGAACCTTGAACTTACTAATGATGAACTAATTATTATTGGGAGTTTTGTTCCTAGAAAAAAAAATCAAACAATTGGTTGCATTTAGTAATCACGTACACATGGTAATGAATAATAAGCAAGTGCTAGTGAAAAGATTACGCGAGCCATATGCAGGACCACACATAACCCTCCAAGCAGAATATCACCGGTAAGTAACAGTAGAAGATACTATGTTGGATGAGATTATAATTATCTAATACTTGTTACTATTAGGCCATTTGCATGCTTAATCCAGTCGATTGTTGAAAGTATTAATTCACTTCCAGAACACATTGAAAGTGTTAAATGGGTCACAGACCATGGAATATTTGATAAGAATGCCATAGTAAGCGACGTCGCTAGCAATCATTTTCATTTAACGATGTTAGGAAGTAAACACTATTACTTCGACTATTTTACAGGACAAACAAGTGTCTTCGACAGCATCAACAATCGCAACGTATGGAAACTATGCGGATTGTATTGAAAGAGTCAGAAAGACTGTAAAGGAAATGCAAGAAACGTGTGTTGTCTAGAGAGGCATCTTGAACTCCTTTCTTCTACGTGAATGGCGGCTGTAAAGTTGCTAGTATTATCAAATATTCAGCAAAGAAATACAAAGAAATTAATTATCAAGAAATATATGTCACAATAATAAAAGTATTTACTATTATGATGCGAGTTTGAATATTGGTGTATGATACGAAATAATGGTATGCTTCTATGATCTGATGCATTTCTTCAGTGGCAATCTGAGCTTTATTATTATTTGGGGCAGACTGTGACAAAGACATGGCTAAGAAGACACCAAGCCATTGCAAGGTTGACACGTATTCGATTCCTCAGAGTGAGTGAGGGTAAGCGGGAAATTTTTTATGACTATCTCTATCTTCATCTTGAAACCAAAAAGTATGTGACATTTCAAGCTGAAGTTTTCAAGCCCCATATTAATATATTAATTAAGTAGCGCATTGTCCAAACAATTGTCCCGCAGGCACATTTTCGTGTGATTGGTTGCCTACAAAAAATCAATTCTTTACCTTTCCCTCGTAATAATGACCAAAAGAAAAGAGCAGCATTACGAAGTGCAAGTAACCGACGAGAACGATGTATTGAAAATAACGGCCTTGGGTGCTGGAAATGAAGTTGGGCGTTCCTGTGTTGTAATTCAATACAAAGGAAAAACTGTCATGGTACTTAAACTCATTGAAATAAATATAAATTAGTGTGTACATAGTAATAGGTTGGGTTAATAGTTAAATAGCCTTTGTCAATGAAAAAAAAAAAAGAGAACCGGTTCTGTAATACTTGCACAATCATTTAATAAAACAGGTCTCAATTTTATAACCACGTTATTATCATGTGTAAATTTTACGATATGACATGACTCTCTTGCTCTATATCTGTTATCCCACTATACTCTTCTTTTTTTAGCTTGACGCTGGAGTTCATCCAGCATACAATGGCATCGAAGCGCTACCCTACTTTGAACAAATAGATCCTTCTACTGTGGATATATTACTTATAAGCCAGTACGTTATCTGGGGAATAATCATAGTAGATTGTTACAAGTATTAGAAGGACTAGTCAATGCATGTGATGTTATCTTCATTTGTGGTTAACATTCAGAAAGTACTTTCCATGCTGATTTATCTTAATTATAAGTTTTCACTTAGATCATGCTGCATCGTTGCCTTACTTTACGGAGATGGTATGCGGACGGAGAAGAAGTGTATTGAGATAGAGTCAGCGAGAATCTAGGTTTTACGTATGAGAAAAGGCTAACGAGATTAATCTCAACAGACAACATTCCAAGGCCGCGTGTTTATGACCCATCCAACAAAAGCTATCTATAAATGGCTACTGTCAGACTATGTTCGAGTCAGGTTAGTTGTTCGTCTTTGAAAATTAACATCAATCATTTAATTATTCGTTTACTCATTCTCATCCTTTTGACTTTCCAATAAGCAACGTCTCCGTGAGCAATAATCTGTACAATGAAGAGAATCTCATTCGTAGCTACGAAAAAATTGATGCGATTGATTATCACCAAGAAGTTGAGGTTGAAGGCATTAAGTTTACTAGTTACAATGCAGGGCATGTATTAGGCGCAGCAATGTTTCTGATTGAGATCGCTGGAGTCAAGGTAGGAAAGAGAACGATGCATGGAGTAGACAAGGACTACAAAAGCATATCTATTGTAAATGTTAGCATATATTAGACGCGCTTTCCCATTCACTACCAAAACTTGACCCTCTTCCAACCCCATCAAAGATTCTCTACACGGGTGATTACTCCCGCGAAGAAGACAGACACTTAATGGCCGCCGAAGTCCCACCTGTACAACCTGACGTCCTAATAACGGAATCAACCTACGGTGTGCAATCGTACCAGCCACGTCTCGAGAAGGAATCTCGCTTTACAAACTTGGTTCACAGTATCGTTAGCCGCGGCGGTCGCTGTCTCATGCCTGTCTTTGCTCTTGGCCGTGCGCAAGAGTTGCTTTTGATCCTGGATGAATATTGGGAAGCGCACCCCGAATTGGAAAGCGTGCCAATCTATTACGCTAGTTCCTTAGCGAAGAAGTGCATGGCTGTTTATCAGACTTACATTAACATGATGAATGCAAGAATACGAAAGCAATTTGCTGTTAGTAATCCGTTTGTGTTCAAACATATTTCAAATTTGAAAAATATGGATAATTTCGACGATGTTGGGCCATGTGTGATGATGGCCAGTCCAGGAATGTTGCAGGTTTGATATCACATACGAGAATACAAAATATCGTGACCAGAAATTAAGTAGATAACATTGCATGTATAGAGCGGGTTGTCACGAGAACTGTTTGAAAGATGGGCACCAGACCGAAGAAATGGCCTTGTTATAACGGGTTATTGTGTCGATGGGACCCTAGCGCGCGTAAGCAACTGCCACTTCGAAAGATAATTGGCTTTGTTTAAATTAAAGGTCTGCGACTTACTTTTCCTTATTTTACCTTTCAAAAAAAAAGCATGCGATGACAGAACCTTCGGATATACCCTCAATGTCTGGTGCCAAAATTCCATTGCGCATGTCAGTTGATTCCATCTCCTTCTCTGCTCATGTGGATTATACCCAGAACAGCCAATTTATTGACGAGGTTAAAGCTCCACATGTTGTAGGTTTAAGTTTGATTATAATGAAAGGGATGGGGATGTCTAGTGGGAGCAATCGGAGAATTGGCATGTGGATTTTAGAACAACTGTATTAGCGCATTACAAGTATTAGGTGCGTGATGCTATGTTGGTTAATATACATTTCCTCTATTGACTTCTACGTAGGTACTCGTACATGGAGAGACAAACGCAATGGGAAGATTGAAAAGCGCATTGAAAAGCAAATACGCTGAACGAGAAGAAAACATTAACATATACACACCGAAGAATTGTGAGATTGTTAAATTGCATTTCCGAGGAGAGAAGATGGCGAAGGTATGTGAAGAACGAAGTATTTGCAATTTTATCGTTCGTTGTGTTGAGAAGCATACCTTTCTCCTTTCGTGTCTTCTCATCGTTGCACATTTCCATCTTATCCGATCCATTCTATACCTATAGACTATCGGTACCTTGGCATCAAAATACCCAACAGAGAACCAGATAGTTACTGGCATCCTCGTGTCTAAGGATTTTCAGTTTAATATCATTTCCGCCAGCGATCTCAAGGAATTTAGTGGTATTGCCACGAGTTCTATTCTCCAAAAGCAGACAATTGGTTATCGTGCTAGCTTCTCGTTGTTGAGATATCATCTCGAGCAAATGTTTGGCGTGCTAGAAGAGATTGTAGATAATGATGAGGTCGTTGGGCTAAAGGTTTGTTTGTTTTGAGGTTTGATTCCGCTACCATCTAGAACGCATATACAAGACTTCATTGTTCTTTGGATGGGCCTTTCTGTTAGATTTTGGGTGTTCTCTCGTTAACACATACCAGTGCAAAATACGTGACTCTTGAGTGGCTTGGGAACTCGATAAATGATGTCATCGCCGATTCAGTATTAACAGTAATTCTTAATATCGAAAGTAGTCCTGCATCAGTCAAAGGTGAAAATCGAACCACTCGTCTATTGCATTTCGACCCTATTTCGCTGCAGATTTGCGTCCTATCATTTTTCTTTACATATCTCGTATATGCTTTCATAAACCCATATCCTTATCGCCTACTTTTCCTCTAGTTACCAAGCCACCACACCACTCCCATTCACACACAACTACTTCTGAAGATATACTCAATGATGCCGAGCGTTTCCTTAAGCAGCAGTTTGGGGAGGTGAGACGAAAACCGGATTCGAACGATGAGGTCCTAATTGTTTCTATTGATGAACATACTGCGGAAGTTAATGTTAAAACTATGGTGAGTTTTGTAAATCCTTATTATAACAACAGCTATCTCTGGTGTGTAGGATGTGAACTACGGCGTCAAACCAATAATTATTAATCAATTTGTTTCGGGTCATGGAATAGGAGATTCAGACCGACCATGACCCATTGAAAAACAGACTTACCAGTGTGTTGCAGAGAATATCGAGAACAATACGTCCGTTAGAACAGACTGATTCAAGGGCGAACATGATAAACGAATTTGAGACAGATGTCGAACAGAAGAACATAGAAAAATGAAAATAATATATATATATGAATATATAACAGTATTGTCAACTAATTGATCATATGGATATCGAACAAGGATAATGATGTTATGCCATCGTTTAAATTTCACTGTTGACATAATTGTGACCATCATTATTTTGTCCAAAACTAGTTCACAATGTGTTATTATTAAATCCATCCACAAAGTACGTAATTACAAGTGTTTCTATAGCATGTATTGAGATTGCCCAGGTTCAGTCGTGATAAATACTTATATATGGGTTGACTATTCTGACGAATTATGAGAACGAAAAACTTAATGTTAAGCGTTGATCAAGTTAACCATAATTGATATCAGCAATGGTGCTGGGTAAACATGGAAAGCCTCGGTAATCCATGCTATTCTGTCAATTCACCATTTAATTCATAATCCCGCAGTGCGTTTATATTACGGTAGGCGTGCAACTCGAAAAGCACGACACTTTCTAAAAGATTTGAGATAGGTTTTCGGCCAAATAAGGCGCATTGTGAATTTCCGGAGTAAAATCCTCTCGTTAGTACGCGTCTGTTTTTAAAATGTCAGCTAGTACTAATTATCATCCCATCCTTGTTTCAACCGAGTATTGCGTGATCGGATTTATAAACAGTTTTGGTACTTGCGAGAAACGTATTATTATTAACATGTGTAATTTATTACGGATTCGTCTCGGAAAAAAAAACATTCTTATGGGCGACTATTGCAATCAGGAACCATAGTATTGGTGCTTTAGAATGAAATTCGCACACTATTGGTTTTTCAGTAGCAAGTTTATTACATTTACTGATTTAAATTGAGTGGTCCTATAACGTTTCCCATGGTATTAACTATTACTATACTTGCCATATAATTTTGGTTACAAGTTAATGGTCTAAAAGCCAAATTCAAGTCAAATAGCACACCTAGCCCATTTCTACAATTGGACAAACTCTAATAAAAAGAGTTGCCTTTTATACATATGCATTTAAACTATAAACATTGTTGTACAGAACACGTGAATATATAATGAGGTCGTATGATACATTTGCACCCGCAATTTGCAATGCCGATAATAACAACCAAGAAAAACCCGATCTAAAATGTCAGAGAATGGTATGCAAGTTGATGAAATCAAAGAAGAACCCGTGTCTGATGGATCCAATTACTCAATGTCTGAAGTGGAGACGGAAACTAAACCTACAACCATGAATGCAGATACGAAAGTAGAGGCCAAAAAACGAGTTCATAACGAAGATTCAGATACCGAAGACACAAAAAGAATAAAAACGGAAGACACTACGAATGCTCAAACTCCTACTCCAGCCTACACATCCCCTAGAAGTGCCTCCTCGCAACCAATTACGGCTGCAAGTCCGCCATTAATCCATACAGTTCAGTCTCCTCCCACAACGCAGGCTGCTCCTAATAAACTAACTTGGCTTGACAAGCTGTCTGCTCTTCATTTGACTGAGGTTCAGAAGGAAGCATTAGAGAAGGCAAAGGCTTTTGCCCGCGAAATGCAATCTGTGGTAATGCGTTTTCCAATCTCATTGAAATTTGTTGTTACCACAATCATAATCTTTATTCGTGCACATTACACCTTCCCTAGCTCTTAAAATCGACCGGAAAACCTAGCTCGCCTCCCCCGATACCGTCCATTCTCCTTACATCGAATCCAGGACTGGCTTCAGGAATAGATCCGCGCTCATTATCGGTGCTATCTCGAATATACGTTGGCTCGATCAATTTCGAATTGACAGAGCAGCATCTCCGTGTTGTGTTTGGTCAATTTGGTGCAATCAAGAGTGTGAGTATGTCTCTCGATGCGGTCACAGGCAAGCATAAAGGATTTTGCTTTATAGAATTTGAAACACCGGAAGGGGCATCTCTTGCACTGGAATCAATGAATGGGGCAGAGCTTGGCGGAAGGTAGGGATTTTTCAATAATCAGAATATCACTGCGTTCTTATTGGTATCATTGAAAGCGATTTTCCTTTTTTTTTTGTATATAGGCAATTGAAAGTAGGGCGTCCAAATAATTACACAGCAGCAACAGCAGCCGGTTCGTATAATAACTACATGACTTCGTTTTCTTCGAGTTCACACATGTTCATACAATTGACTGAAAGGAAGTAGGTTTATTGCCGCCGCCGAAGACACGAATATACGTATCGAATGTCAATGAATATGTTAGTGAAGACAATCTAATGAGTATCTTTGAGGCATTTGGTAAAATAAATGCGTGTGTGTTGATGGTAAGTTGTACTGTTATATGTCCTACGTGATTACAACAACTTCCATAAATGCTTCTTTATTCTTACACACATCTGTTTCTTGTCAAAACACTGTAGCCCGACCTAATTACTAGAAAGCATAAAGGATATGGGTAAGATTGACATTTTTACTTCGTCTCCATCATATTAATATTATATCATATCGCGGTGAAAGGCCGTGGTATCATTCGATAGTCGGCTCTGCTTACCAGTCTCTTTGAAGAGAACGTTTGCTGTTTGGAGGGAACAGGGGCTCTACATATACATTGTCGATTTTCAATTAGTCTTATAAGCACGATTGCTTTATTTCGTCCCCACCCCCCTCTTCTCCCTGTTACGTTTCGTATTGTCCTTCTCTCTCATTCTTTCAATCGATCATTTTCAACGGAGACGATTGGATGTTGCAGCACGAAGGAAATAGACGAATTCGCAGGAGTTTGTCGATTGTTTTGATTTTAATTCTCCTGGATTGTGTAATACAATGAACGAAAAGACGCGGGAACAGTTCACACTCACTTATATGTTTCATCTATGCACTCTATGCACTCCAATATTTCCTGTCATTTTACTATCTATTTGCATCTTTCTCGTTTCTTTTCTTCTTCTTTCGCTTTCATACACGGACAATATCCTCATCTGCAGACAAGCAATAGCTGACGAAACGTTCAGTAGTGGTCAACTCACAGTACGTGTACGTTAGGACTGATCAGGGAGAGAAGATTTACCAATTTGGTAGAACCTCAGCAAATATTGGCGGCGTTTTTATGCGTTTCGTTACATTTACTTGAACGTTGCAATCGCTCATCTTCAACAAAAAGAGTTTAGATCGGAATTTCGATGTTTGATGTTTCATTAATCCTAACCAAAGTTTCCCTCTTATTCCGTGCCATCGGCGTGTATATGCGTTTAGGTTTATTGAATTTGAAGATGGAATGGCAGCTTCGACTGCTGTTGTGTCGATGAACAATTTTGAATTGGGTGGATTGATATTGCATGTGGGCAAGGCAGTGATTGGTGGTCCACTCCCTGAAGGAATGAAAGCAATCGATAAGTTACCACCGCTGCCTGCTGGTATGAGTCCCGCGATACCGCTTGCTACGCCTTCCGTTTCTGCTGCAGGTTTGTGAACATTCTCTACATGGACTTGTGCACACACAGGTCAATAACGGCAAGTAAACATGTTATGAGATAACCCTTAATTGCTAATTTGATATTAAAAAAATGTAGCTGCCGCCGTAAAGGCACAGAATGCTGCTGCTAAAATAGCTGCGGGTCTGGCAGCCAGAGGACAATCTGTCGTCGAGTCAGTAGCGCAGGAAGAGAACATGAGTATAAGTGCTAGTCAACGATATGCTATAATGCAGAAGCTGGCACGACAAGAAGTAGAGTATCATGGTATTAATATAGTATTTCTTCGATTAAAGGATTTCTTCTAATACATATGGGATGTTTCGTTTTACAGACATCTCCTGTTATTCTTATACAAAATGCGGTTGCTCCTATGGATGTTGATGATTCTTTAGAAGAGGAGTTCGAGGAAGAGTGTAGCAACTATGGAAAAGTAAGTAAAGTTGCCATAAACGTTGATCGGGAAAGCATTTTCGAAGGTGAACAAGGAGTGGTGAAAATTTTTGTGCAGTTTGAAGATGCATCTGGTAAGCTTTTTTCTATTGTGACCGAGCATTGTTTTGCGATTTGCTAGACTGACTTATTTCGAATATGGCAGCTGCGGATAAAGCAAGAGAAAAGTTAGACGGACGGTGGTTTGGTGGTCGTCGTATCAAGGCAACGTTATTCGATCTGAAGAAATTCCAGAAGGGAGATTACTCTACATGATTTGAATTTGTAAGGAAACGTTTAAGTAGAATACATTATCGAAATTTATAGGGTCCCTTGTATGACTCTTTAATTCCTTATAATATACAATACAATCTACATTGACTGAAGTACTCACACAGCGCAATGTAGCCCTGAATAAGCAATTCCAAAAATACACATTTCTCTTTCTTTTGCCAACACGGCTAATTCGTAATAATTAGTTATTTAGTCAAAAGCCGTCGCACTTATTGATGCGCTGCTGTTTGATCGAGTGCGGTAAGATACGTTGCCAGTGGCCGCGAAGCTGTTGACACCGACCTTCCGCTGAAAAGAGCCTCTGTCACGATATCTGCAGTCAATTGAGACAACCTGTGATATAACAAAGAATGACATGTATCTCAACAATGCAGTGATATAATAAATAATCTGCAAGACGTGTGTTGTAACACTCACCATTCTTTATGATCTTTGGTTAATACAGGCTCATCCGAGCTATTAGTCAATGTTTTAATAGCATCAAAGTGTATTTCTACGCGTGATTTGTATTTGAGAAATGGTTCACTTGCTTGATTTAAGCATTGCTGTGTGATAAAAATTTAGAAGTTTGATACAAATGAACATCAGAAATACAAAAGCGATAACAATCCCTTAGGCGCATGTATACAGGATTAAGGCATATATACTCACATACAGGAGCGCTAATTGATGGGCCATGTATTTATGATTTGTCAAATTTATATCTTGTTGGAGTTGTAATGCCATCGAGACAAGTTGATTAACGATAGTCATTTCGTGCAAATGAGCTAAGCAGGGAAAAAGAAGTACGGTATATATGAATATTTTCATCGTATGCGCTATAAGCATCATTGATGTATAATCCCCCCTTCCCTACCATCACACACTTACCCCGAAATTCATTAGTAGACCCCATCATAGAGACGACCAATCTTTTGGATGATTTTGGAAAAAATGCGGCAAGTCCTAGTTCAGACATGTAAGCCTAAATTAACCAAAATTTGCAAGCATGAGATTAGAAACATCTCATCGCCCGCAAATCCACCAAGGAAAAGCAAGGACAATCATAGAATCACACAATGATCGTAATAACAATTAAAAAAACTAATCTGATTGATATGAATATTCTTTTACAAAGTACCTGAGTATCCTTTTTGAGTAGACCATCTTCATCAAATTGAACAAGCGACTTCTGAATGACGGATATTACCGATTCGATTTCAGAGTGATTATATCGTTGCTATGTACACGGCAAGGCAGAAACGGATTCAGAAAACTTCTTGAGCGTTACACACACCTTTTCCTCTATAATATGATGCAGCCAGCTAACCAACCTGGTCCAAAAACTTGACACTATCGACAGCACTTGCCAATGCCTCTTCTTTGGTCAACAATATCTCTAGCCTCGCCAGGGCATTAAGAATTTGAAACCCGATTCGCTTCTTGCGTGATCCAGGTCTTTGAATCAGTGGCTCGTGAAGATGTATTTCGACTGTGAATGGTGAAAAGAGGGGACACAAAACGTCAGAAAGCAAGAGAAAGATGCAGAGACCCCACTGTATATGACATAGACCTTCGTGAACACTCTTTGCAGGGTTGAGATCGACAAGTGGCGGAGTTGAGGTTAATTTACTCATTAGTTACTTTCTTTTTTTATTGCTTATGTAAGAATGAGCGTATTTTTCTATTTTGATTGTCTGTTCGCTCACTAAATATGCAGCTCTATCTCGTATCTTTCTGTAATGTCGCCTTTCACGTCCGCCCAAAGATTTCCCCTACAATTCTTGATTTATATCGGGCTAAATTTTCCTCGATTTTTGATGGATGCGATAATGATGCGTAAAAAAAACGCGGGTGTGTGAGAATCATAACTTTTGAGTATTCGTTTCGAATAAAGCAATGCCATTTGTGAAATATCATACATTCATCATGTCATTGACGTTATCACGTGGCCGTAAATCATGTTAAATGGGCTTCATAACTTTTGACGAAAAACAAGGTTGTAATTAATTAATTGCGAACGAACCAAACTAACTTTACTAATACAGGATAGGAAAAAGCGACTATTTTAGCTTAGCAGTGCCTGCATAAAGTTTGTTGTCTTTAATAAATGGCGACGTGTTATGAGTGCAAGCAATTGACCTAATTGGGGACTTGTTTTGGTAATACTAATCATACTTATGGAGAAAAGGCTGACAACTAACGATAATGTTGTATGCCTATTACCATAAGAATGCGTATAATGATACATCTTTAACACTGACCATTTCGTTATTATATTGACATCCGAATCACCGGCGGCTCGTGGGAAGTTCACCCCCAGCGATATTCCGTAGATTTCTTTGCGCCCAATATACATTCAATCTACCGCATATTAATTTCCCATTTCAACACTTACTTGCAGTTTCCTGGGCACAGATGGAGGCCCGAAACCACTTAATATTTCCCAAATCTATCGATTACTCCAGCCATCCATGAGATCGTTCATAAATCGTCAAAAATAAACGTAACAGCTATAAATTTATTCAACTCTTGTCGCTCATAATACCTCTTCTCGCGTGCCGATTACTAGCACAACATTCCTATCACAGACTATGCCCACAGTTAAAGCAACTATGTTGCGGTATGAATGGTTTGTGATGGCTGTGTAGGCAGCCGCGACCGTGGATTGAATGCATTCTGCATTGATACAGAGGAAAAATATGTCAAAGTATAGAGAGGAATAGGCGGATCGTTCCCATGGGCGTCTGTTGAATGAGATCGCTAGATGACCAGTTGGCATATAATAATAACCTAACACCTTCCACCTTTATTGTAAATAACAAGCTATGTTTCAAGTAATTACGAACGAAACTTTAGAAACAGGCCAACAGAATCGCCTTATATTTCGCATTTCCCTCTCGCTATATTACTATATACACAGTGAACCCGGATATAATGAAGTACCTCAGTTGGCGCCCTTTTTCTTCGTTATAGCAGGTTTTCGTTATATCCGGGCTTTGTTATATCTGTGTATTCTGCATACGGAATCTGGTGGAGGACAAGGCTACCACAGTCAGTTGAGCTTCCATAAAAGCAATATTCACTGGTGTTACAAATTTTAATTGCGAATACTGTATCAAACAGTACGAACAAGTACCAGCACATTATCTAATATCACAACCAGTAAGCGACATCTAATCAACATTGTTTATGTAATAATAGCGAAATAAATGTACTCAATTCGAACTGGCCGGGCTAAATTTCAGAACATGACGATAACTTGTTATAACGATGAAAACATGACCCGACAGAAGTATCGTTATATCCGATTTTGACTGTATTGTTGTTCTTTTTATGTGGTTATTGTAAGTACTTGCAACCTAGATTTTGTAATAAAAAAAGAAGACTGTAAACTGCTAGCTTTTACTATATACTTTTGTTGATTGATGTACCCGTGGCTCAGATCCTTAAGCGTGTGTCTTTAAAGGGGGGGAATTTTTTATTTATTTATTTATTTATTTATTTATTTATTTATTTCTTATTTATTTATCTATTTATTTATTATTTATTTATCTATTCATTTATTATTTATTTTAAAATTTTTTGTCGCTTTTCACGCAGAAATTAAAAAAAGAACAAACCTTTTAGCTTACGGAAGTACAACAGACCGAATCGCTAGCATCGTAAAGAGTTGGACCCATGAATGCTCTGCGTAAACAACTAATCTAATGCAAATTATGTGATATGCCTAAGGAGGGATTCGCGTTTCCTTATTGTTTCCTTTTCTCGCGATATTTATTGATTCGCACCTCCGATTAATGCTCACGGCTAGGGGGGGAAGGAGTAGACGTGTCGTATACTCTAGCATGGATATGAAGAAATTTTTTGCACAGGAAGCAGGTCGCTCTATCGACCAAGATATGACTTATACCTGGGGCGGCAGAGTGACGAAAAGTTGAGAGAGCTGCTGGGACAATATAGAGAAAGAGTATTGAGTAGTGCATCGTGCTTTTTTTCTCCCTCTGCATAATAATACACACAAATTACGAAATAGATAGCTTTTTAAAACCCAATATACTTTGCTTCAATGACTACGATAGCTGGGTCGTTACAGAATATTACGTAATGCAGTCGGTCCTTTCCTCCATTGCTCCTCGTGTCGAACTGATCACCTCAGCCATGAACGGGCTCATATACGGGAAGTCTCCTAGTTCATGATTACTTCTCGATGAAACGCATTCAGCGATCTTCTGAGGTTGGGTTTGAATATCAAGCTTGGTACGAGATTCAGAACAAATATAAATAGACAATAAAATCCTAACAACGAAATTAAAGTTGACTTTATTTTTCTCTGTAACATGCAGTGTGTGGTTAAAGATCAATTCATTATTTATTCCTTCGCCGGTTCAAAGTGGTATTCAGAACCGTCTTGAAGTATGAAACTTAGTTGTTGTAAAATCAAATTAGGTCAGCTATTAAAAAATTGCGTCTAGAATATAAAATATTTCGTTTTCTTGATGTGGAAATCCTTTAACAGACTTCATAACTTATTTGAATAATTATATGAGCTCAAATTGGTTTATCATAATATGTATAAATTGGCTTTTTGTTAGAAGACTAATTGATGGTATCTCAAAGAAAGTAGAAGATGCATTTTATACAAGCTTTAATACAGGTTATATGTACTCGATCTGACTTGTGACATTTCATGCGCAACCTCCTAACGTTTTATCGTATTGTAAGCATAATGTCTATCATTATTTACTAATAAACACTTACATTTCTACAGTCTGACCCACATCTGCCTGTCTTTGACGCGTCGACCATTTTGTCATCAACGAGCCTATCGTGCCTTCTATTCAGGAATGTTTGGACGTCATCATATTAGACGTAGACGTGGAAACTGTACATCAAACCATCTGTCTATTACTGGAATTATCTTCTAATTACCTCTCGCTACACAAAACAATCTTTACAATAACAAGTTTATTTATCTGTTGTTTTTGTCTTACCAAGATAACATATACTATATTGGCATTCAACCAATCAAAGCTGGGTTTTCCTGTCAACAAAGTAATAGGGCAAGCAACAAGCATTTAACCCTTAAAGCACCTATAATTACTGTTGTTTTGTTAAAAAAGTAGTATTGCGATATCTCTGCCCATACTGAATAAGATCGAGACTTCAAATCGACGTGTTAATGTTCAAGAACGTCACGAATGATATCGTAATAGTTTATCAAAGATTCTGAAACAACGTTGTACTGATTTTCTTATAAGTTTTTGCTAAGCTGAACTGGAATCGTACCTACTATCGACCTCTAATAGGTAGGAGTTTACTGGAATATTTACTCTCTTTCTCAAAGCGTGACAAGGGTTGTACATCGTTATGATAAATCGTATTCCAAATAGGGTCATCAGACTGTATCTCCCATCTAAAAAGTCGAGGATAGATATGGTGCAGGAAATCTATACTCGACAATCACATATTAGGCATCTTTAAACTCCTTCAACTTTTTACACAGA